TGTGTTAAACAAAGTTAAAAAGCATCATAAATAATTTAATATAGAATTAAAAAAATTTAGTGTTATTATTATAATTAAAGAATTATTATTCATTTTTTGGTTTTATTAAAGTTTTTTAAGTTATCAAAAATATATTCTTTATTATTTTGTGAATAAGCAGTTTAAAAAGTGTTATTCTTTGTTTTAAGTTAATGCATATTCTTTTTTATTCAAATGGAATAAATCATTCACTAATCAAAGAGAAAGTTAATTGGTTTAAGCAAAATTAACTATTCACGGTAATAATGAAATAAATAGAATTGGTTTAATTTTTATTCTATATAAGAAGATTTATCTAGAGCATATTAAATGGGTTGATTTGTTTTACATAATAACCTCAGGTAGTGTAAATTATTAAAAATATAATTTGAAATACTTTTATGTTTAACTCACAATAACTCAAAAAATGAAACTTTGTAGTTTATAGCTCGTTAAATTTAAAAGTTAAAAATAATAAGCAATAAACTAAAGAAGGTGTTGATTCAGAAAACTATTATAAGAAAGAATTTATTTCTGTCTTTTTTTAAATGTCTTGTTTTAGCATAAACTTTTTTGTTGTTTATTAATGAAGAACCAACAATGGGTTTTAAAAGTATTCTTACAAAGTTATCAGAGATGGCACAAAATGATCAAATACAAGAAGATAATACTAAAACTAAACAATAAGTCTTACTGTTTTATTAGTATTTATATGCCATTGTTCATTTACGTTTAGTTTAGGTTTTATTTTCATGACTATTCATATCTTGAGTTTATTGTTAGTTTTTATTATTGTATTTTTATTTTTCAATTGATGTTTCTTACCTATTTAATTTTTATTTTATTTCTATATTTGATTGTGATATTTATTGCTTATTTATTTTCATTTATTTATATTATATCTAATTTATTACTGTTTTATCTTTAATTTTTTCTTCTTGAGTTAATAATTTATGGTCTACCACATACTAACTAATATACTCTCTTCATTTAATTTTGAGTGAGGACATGTATTATTGTTCAATTTTAATTTTATTCTTTCATTTTCATAATACTTTTAATCTAGTAATTCAATTCAAAAAGTGATTCTTCGTTCGTTCTTGTTCCTATTTTTGTTCGTTTCTTTATTAAAAATTTATGACACTAACATGTTATATTCTTTTTTTCATATATTAATTATTAGTATATTAAATTTATTATAAACAATAGTCCAGATTAATCTTGTCTATAGCTTCAATTAAAATTTCTGGGAAAGTAAACAAAAATGAATAAATGAACAAGAATAAAAATAGTTTTAATAAAGAAAATAGAGAAAAATTAAAGAAACTTAGTTTAAGTATTATATTCTACTATGAAACTTCACAAAAACTACCACATTTATCAATAAACATAAGTCATGAATATAATAAAATAAGAAAAAAATGAAAGAAAGAAGGGAATTTATATCTGATTCTATTAGCTTTTTTAAAATAAACATTTATAAAAATAAATTAAATACAATAAGAAGTTTTAATTAATAAATAGTTGGAGTATTAGTCTAGAAAAGATAGGAAATAAAGATATACCAAGACATTTACCTCAAATAAAAATATTATATAACAAGAACTCATAATACATTCCAATATGTCTGTTCTACATAAACAAACAGAATAATATTCTTTTAAGATTTTACAAAACATTCAAGAAGCAGTGGAAGTACAAAATAAATTAAATAAGCTTATATAACAAAAAGATAAAAAATACAAATAAAATGAATTAAGGAAGACCAAAGTAAATTACTACAAAATAAAAGAAATAAAAACATCATCAAACAAACAATTATATTATGAAATATATAGTATTTAAATTAATCATTAAAGAAAGAAACGTTTATATTTTAATCAATCAAAATTGTTTTTATATTAAGATATATTTTCAAGGTGAAAAATAATATTCTACCAACTCAAAAATGCTCAATACTATTAGGTCTTTTACTATATTCCATATATTACCTATTAATAGTGAATAATATTCTTGGTTATTTTATTCCTTTTTTCTCTTAAATCTAAAGTACTATATATCATTATTTTCATAATGTATTTCATGAATATTAACATTCTTTCAATTTATTTATTATGTTTATTTCTATTGAATAGACTTGTTATATTGTTTAATGAAATATGATTCTTCATATTATTTAATATACGATATATAAATTAATTACCATTATACTAGAATATAAATGGAATATATATAAATATCAGTTAACTTGAAATACATCGTTTAATATTTTTGGTGAATTTAATTAATTAAAAATAAATCAAATAAAGCTAATTCCTGAAAATGATAAGCAAACAACTAATATATTTTATGTTATTTGTTTTTAGCAACTATAAAAAATTCATTACTTAAATATAATGTATTATTTATACCTTACAATAAAAGTATAAATAAGTATTATGGAAATTACAGAATAATATGAAAAAATTGTTATTTAAACAAAATTTATCAATGTTATTCAAGAACAACAGAGACAATCAAATACAATTAATTATTTCATATTACTTTTATTTATTTACTTGTATATTATAAATATACAAATTTATTTTTATTTATCTCTTATTGTATTTATAACTCTTTTACAATAGACTCTATGTATCATTTCTTTTTGTTTAGTTTTATTCCGAGTTTATAAATAAAATGTCAATTTTTATATGTTCATTTATTAACTCTTTGTAGAGTATTGCGCTATTAATTAATTTTATTTAACGAATTATTTGTTGACTCTTTATATTATCTTTGCTATTTTCTTATAATAACTTTACCAAAACAACACCTAACTTTTGTTCTAAGAAAAAGTCTGTTTATAGAAGGAATATATCAGTGGTGTTTAGGTGCTCAGAAATTCATCTGTTCAACGAAAAACTCAAATTATAAAAAAGAAAAAACTGAAAAATAAAAAAATTGTAATAAAGAATGGAACCTACTCGTATTATTGCCATTGATTATTTCAATGAATATGATCTTGGGAAATTTTTGAATAAATATAGCCAGTGTATCAGTGATGAACAAATTCACTCCCAGAAGCCTTATACCGTTGGATCTCCTGAAATTGATGAAAAAATTAAAAAAAATAAGAAAAGATACTCTTCTTATTCAACAAATACTAAACCGAGAAAAAGTAGTGAAAAGAAAGCAGTGAAAAGAACAATTAGTCCACTTAAAATAAAGAGTTGTGATCTTATGCAAATGCATTGTAATGATTGTCAATTTCGTCATTCATCACAACATAATGCTAAAATCTCTGAAGAACCAATACAAAAAATGAAAGAGAAATGTTTTGGGCTTGGACAAGCAATAAGTGATTGCTGTTATAACATAAAAGAAAAAGTCCAATTAAGTCAACAAGATACAGTTGACCTCGATCAAGATATTATCATATCATCTCAAGAACTCAAAGAAAGAGAAGGGCTTAGCAGAAATAAAAAAGGTTTAACAGAAATAAAAGAAATGAGTGAAAAGTTTCATCCAGTAAAAAAGGCTAATACTATCCTAAGAAAAACAAACCGATTAGTGTTACAAAAAAAGCCTAGTGTCGTTGTTTCAATTCCTTCAATTCCATCAAGAAAAACTATTGAATCTTCACTTATTCATACCAAAACAGATTGCATCACATTGTCAAGAGAAAATTCAAATAAAAGTTTCATAACAAAACAACAATTATCTTCTTCACTTTTATGTAAAACAAATAGTCATCCAATTATTCAACCTGTTTTGAAACACCAACATACAATGGTTGTTCCAATCAAAAAACTTAATTTTGATGACATCGATGATGAAGTTCTGACTGACATACCTCCAAAAGCTAATTGGGTTATTTCTCCAACCTCAACAGTTGAAAATATTTCTGATATTTCAGTCATTGAAATTGAACATCAACAAAGACAAAGAACAAATGAAGTTAAAAAAGATGGGAACACTCGCCCTACCACTTATCAACTGATTAAACCAAGAATAAGTGAAACAATTCAATTGTCAAAAATATCATTGTATCATGTAAAACCCTCTTCAAACCAATCTAACTGTTATTCATTACCACCAAAAGTGCATTTAAATTTGAATTGTGACATGAAAGAAGATCCAGATGTTTATATCTCACCTTCTATTTAGTCACACCATAATATACTTTTTGTTTTTCCTATTTCTTCTTTTTCTTCTGACTAATTTTTTGTTTACCCTTTAAAGAGTAGAAACAAAGATGTTGTTTTCAGAAATATTACATAATGAACATCATTTTATTTCAAAAGAAAAATTCACTAATCAGATTCTAAGTCACTTAAATTTTCCTTTTTAAAACAAGAAATGAAATACTAAAGTCTCGAGACTTGGTTCTTTTTCAAACCAAAAATTTCTAAAAATATGTCACGAAGCTGTGCTTTAAACATCTTTAACATAATCCTCTCTCTATGTAACCTATTACATATGTAAATTGTAAGAATTAGGTTATTCCATCAATTTGTTTAAAGCATGTATATTTTTCTAATTATTAAACATATTTAGAATTTATGTTAAACTCATTGGTACTTACTCTAGTATAAAATATATTATATGAACATGTGTATAACATATTTGAGTAAAACGTGTTAACTTTAATTAAAAGCAATATAAAGGAATAAAACAGTATTAATTTTACCAAAGATCAATATGAAGTATTAGATTAATTATTTTTAGTCTTTGACTAAATTAGTACTTTAAAAATTGATATTATTTTAGAAAGGAGAAAATGAAGCACATGATATATCAACAGTTAACTGAATGACCAGATATATTATAAAGTAATAATTATTTAAATTCATTGTTATCATATTAAAAAAGATAATGTTATCTATTATTATATACGTTAATAAATATTAATTTGTAAAGATAAAATAGAGTTTTATGATAATTTAATTTCTAACTTAGATAATTTTTATTAAATGAACTTGAATAACA